GCAATAAGCCCCAAGAAGCCGTGGTTTACAGTGAATTTATAACAGCTAAGGGGCATTGTTAGGCACGACGCGAAGCGAACCCCCTTAGCTGTTATAAATTCACTGTAAACCATGGCTTCACGGGGCTTATTGCTTTTATAAAACAGTTATTCCATATACGTAGTAAGGTGTCACAAAATAAAACAGAGCAAATAAAGTGTAATGATATTAATAAAAACATTATTCTTCCACCAAACAATGTAGTTCCTCAGAAACGGTTGTGGTTCCAACAAAGTGGTTGCCGAGCAACACACAAATGTAAACAAAAGTGTATTGCTGCGTCCCAATTCGCCTACTTATACTATGCCCTAAAAGTATGTACTCTTTTTGTTAAGAAAAAGTACATACTTTTTAGTATGTAGCAGAATAGTAGGCAAGCTTTGGGACATACTACTTCGTCCTAACTGTGTCTTTAACGGACGCTCTGTTGCTTAGTTACATGCATTCTGTCACTGTTTAAACTGCACTGTAATCATCTTGTCTCATCGAGGCACATTTAGTTTAATTCAATTTCCTACCGTATTGGAGAGAAATCTGCCAGTCGCGGGTCTATCATGCCGAGAACTCTCTTCATGTATGCATAATGATGCATTTAAAAGTTAATGACCAAACATTTAAACCTAAATGTTCACAATGTTGAAATATAACGCATATAACGCGCCTAACATTAAATAAATATTTTTAATCAGGTTAGACATTGATTATGTAACAACCTGTTTGCCTGCTCATCTTAATATTTATTAAGTCTACAGTATACTGTCCCGCGCATTTTATTTTATTCTTATTTTTTTATCTTACTTTTTCCATACCTATATTTATATATAATTTTCTTGTGTTTGTATTCTTTAATAATTGCACTGTCCATGGAGCGGACCTGACTTACATTTCACTGCTGGTAATATATTCTCTATATAACCATGTATGTGACAAATAAAAAATCTTGAATCTTGATTATTTATCACTCAAACCCCAGTCTCTGCCTGTCCGTCGCTCTCGCATATCTGCCATGTTTGTAGTTTTTAAACACATTTTATGCGTGTTTGTAGTTCTAATCGAATCCTCGTCCACCGCGCAATGCGTTGTGGGTAATATTAGCCGTTTCAACATACTATGATTTGGGACATACTAATTCTATTTTCGAATACTATTTAGGATGGATAGTATGCGAATTGGGACGCAGCATATGTTTGTAGAGTAATTTACAACAGCTTCGAACTTGGCTCAACCAATCAGAATCAAGGACCGGAACTATCCACTTTATACGTTTCTTTACAGTCTATGTGTAAAACAGTCACGTTTTCTTGAAAGATCATGTTGGTCTTTTTGACCATGAGGAAGTCAGAAATCATTTTCAAAGACATTCTCGTGTCAGTTTAGCATGACCTTTGACTGAAAGTGTGGTCGTTTTGACACTCACTGAGCGCTCTTGGTCATGCTGTCTGAAGGGGTCAGAGGTCAGAGGTGAAGGTGGTGGAGTGTCATCTAGCTGGTAAAAATTCCAGTATGGATCTGCATCTTCTATAGGGAAGTCAAGAGTAGACTTAGCTTCAGCATTACATAAATAGCCAATGCTTAGGTATGTCTATGGTATAAATCTATTGTACAAATTGTACCAAATTTTGTGAGTCTGAAGGTCCTGGAAATGCCGGAAGAGTGTGCCATGTGGAAGAAGAACAAGTCATCAAAGCCGATGGCAAACAGAGATGTGTTATACTGACAATAAACTCTCTCCATCCCAGTGGGATTCTGGGAAGGGTTAGGAGTCGGAACACAGGGCGATACTCTGAAATAAAGCAAAAAATCATAAAAACAAGCAATCATGAGATATATTTTAGTCTTTTAGCTTATTGTATGTGTCACAGATTGATCATGAATCAGTTTTTAGATTTTAAACTGTGTGATTTTCAAAGCATTTTCCTAAACTACTTGTCCAACTATTATTTTACTCTATTATGACTCTAATTAAATTAATATAATATACTATTAATTTGTAATAACATAACATTTCTAGTATATTATACTGTATTCACTGAATTGCTTAAATGTTTTAAATATTAATAAATAAATGTAATATAATAAAATGAATAAATATTAAATGATTAGTTTTATTACCAAAAATATTACATTAAGAATAGAATGCTGTATTATATTATATTATATTATATTATATTATATTATATTATATTATA